GAAAAATGCCTTGCTTATAATCCCCGGGACTTGGAAAGCATCAGAGGCAAGAGGATCTCTGAGTTCCAGGCCATCCAGGGCTTAAAAAAAAGCAATGTCATGCAATGCCCAAGAAGGTTAGCCCTGGTCCTCTGCAAGAGCAATCAGTGCTCTTAACTGCTGAGCCATATAAATAAATAAATAAATAAATAGAAAAATGCCTTGCTTATAATCCCCGGGACTTGGAAAGCATCAGAGGCAAGAGGATCTCTGAGTTCCAGGCCATCCAGGGCTTAAAAAAAAGCAATGTCATGCAATGCCCAAGAAGGTTAGCCCTGGTCCTCTGCAAGAGCAATCAGTGCTCTTAACTGCTGAGCCATCTCTCCAGACTTGATTTATTTTATCGTATGTGTGTGTGTGTGTGTCTGTCTGTCTGTCTGTCTGTGTTTGTGTCTGTGCACATGAATGCAGGTACCCACAGAGCCCAGAGGTGTTGGATCTCCTGAAACTGAAGCTAAGCCTCACATGGGTGCTGAAATCAAACTCGAGTTCTCTAGAGCATTACAAACTCTTAATTGCTGAACCATCTCTCCAGCCCAGATTTTTTTTAAATTATGTGTGTGTCTGTGTGTCTGTGTCTGTGTCTGTGTGTGTCTGTGTATAGAGGTATGTGCACATGAGTGCAGGTATGCCTGGAGGCCAGAAGCATTGGATCCTCTAAAGTTGGAGTTTCAGGCAGTTGTGAGCCACCCAATGTGGGTGCTGGGAATCAAACTTGTGTTGTCTGCAAGAGCCATCACTACAGTTCCCTTGTGTGCTTGTTTGTTTGTTTTTTGTTATTTTGCAACAAGATCTACTATAACCCAAGGCTGGCCTCAAATACCCAGCAATCCTCCTGCCTCAGCTTCCTGAGTTCTGGGATTACAGACATAAATCATCACATCCAGCTTGTCAGGTAATGTCTTGTGAGTAGTGGTAGTAGTGTCTCCAGCTAGCAATTAATTCCTGTATATACATCCAAGAAATGTTTATTCACATGCTATAAAAGAGAGTCAATTAATTTACACTCCTGCCTATGTGTATAAGGGTACCACCCTCCCCACACATATACCCATCCTTGCCACCATTTATTGTTTCTATGATTTCTTTCCATTCTGACTTGGATGAGACAGAAAGAAGTTCCATGTAGTTTTGATTTGCAATTGATGGCTAAAGATGTTAATTTTTTTCATGTATTTATTGATCATTTGTACTTCTTGTGAAATTGTGATTCATTTATCCATTTTAAAAAAGCCACTGGGTATGGTGGCACACGCCTTTAATCCCAGCACTTGGGAGGCAGAAGCAGGTGGATCTTTATGAGTTCAAGGCCAGCCTGGTCTACATAGTGAGTTCAGGTCAGCTGGGACTATGGGGAGACCCTGTCTCAAAAAAAAAAAAAAAAAAAAAAAAAAGTCAAGTGCTGGAAATTATGTCTGTTGACAGAATGGGTCAGCTAAATTGTGAAATATTGATGTATATAATGGGATATTTCAGTGTTTGTATACAGTAACCTCTCCATGGTATGTGTAGTGATATGTTGAGTGATGTGGGAGGGCCCAGCCCACTGTGGGTGGTGCCACCCCTGGGCAGGTAGGCCTGTGTTGCATAAGAAAGCAGGCTGAGCAGGGACCAGGGGAGCAAGTCAGTAAGCAGTGTTCCTCCATGGCCTGTGCTTCATTCAGCTCCTGCCTCCAGGTTCCTGCATTGGGCTCCCTGATGAACTTGACCGTGGAGATGTAAGCCAAATTAACCCTTTTCTCCCCATGTTGGTAGTGGTCAGAGTGTTTTGTCACAGCAATTGAGAAGGAAACTAGAACACAATGAAATTGAATTTTTTTGGGAGGGGTATTTTTGAGACAGGGTCTCCCTGTAACCCCAGCTGACCTGGAACTGGCTATGTAGATCAGGCTGGCCTGGAACTCAGAGATCTGCCTGCCTCTGCCTTCCCAGTGTTGGGATTAAAGGCATGTGCCATCATGCCCAGCCCAATCTAAATTGAATGTTATGCTCCAGAC